GCCTAGCTGTGTGAAGCCAACTGCATGTTTTCTCGCGCCGATCAGTGATCGAACTCGAGGTCAGACTAGACGCTGCTTGGTGCAGGCCACGCGCCCGATCTCTGCACGGTCGCCCACCTTTGTGACAAGTGATCATATCAAATACCTTGAGAGACCAACCGCTTCTGCTTCTTACATGTTTCCATCGACAGACATGATTTTTCGTGATCGCATCGTTCTTGTCTCTTTCTACACGCCTCCGTGAAAAGTCTTTGTTTGTTGATTTGTTGTTTCTCGCTTTCTTCTATGGCAGTCGACGGGAGCGAGGTGTTCCTGTCCCTAATTCGCCGCGCTGAAGATAAACTTCACGAGCGACAAGATATTCTAGCCAACCTGAATGATATCCGCTACTGGTATCAGTATGGAGAATTTCAGGATTCTGTCAATCTTGTTTTGAGCGCGAAAGAGTTGCTAAACTTGCTGATTAAAGGTCCGACTCTCGAGCTGCTACCCTCTGCACTGAAATCCTATGCGATAGCCTTCGAAGCCGTGCAGCACAAGAAGCATCTCGCAACGCCTCTACCACGCGAGCGTTCGGAAGACCATGCCGCCGAATGTTTGAAGGTCCGCGGCTGCATCAGCGATCTTTGCGACCAACTTCGAAATGTGCCCCGATTCACTGAGTCTCTTAGGCTTCCGTTCGCCGAACTCACAGGCTGCGTTGTGAGGACGCTGTGTCACCAGGCTAAAAATTGGCTGTCCGAAGTTAAGGAAATACTGAAAGACTTTGCAAAAGCGTATGCAAATTCTGCAGGTACTTCAGATGAGCACAAACCTCTTTTGCTAGGGCTCCGCGGCTGCATGTATGCCTTGGATATAGACAAAGCGCTTGAAGCCAGTAGCCTGTCTTCACCACCACCACCATCACCACCACCACTACCATCACCATCACCACTACCATCACCTCCACCACTACCACCACTACTACAACCACCACGTGTCCCTAAAAGGCAAAACGAGCCTCCAGATCATGTGCGAGCCGAAAGGTACATGCGCGCCCGTAGCTGTTCTGCAAGTGAGAAGATGAACAAGAACTAACACACCGCCAGTTCAGCCGAACTTCGTTCGAAACGCAGACGACGTGAACGATCTGTGCATACCAGCTCCAGCGAAGGTCCACTGGATGATCTGTATCCACGGCACTGCGACCATGACGGGCCGTGTTCGTCAACAAAGCTCGAATGCAGATGCAAGATCTGTCACGGGGAGTGTGGATGCAGCGCTAGTTGCGAGAAAAAACTTCCCTCGTGTGACTGTGAGGGTCCATGTAGGGAAGATTGTGGATGTGTACGGAACAATGCCGAATGCATCGACTCCCGATGCAGCTGCTCAGAGTGTCCTAACAATTTCCAAGAGCAGAAACCTGTGAAGCTCGTTAATCTGGCGTCTGGAGGTGTTGCTTCTTCCCAAAATCTCACAACTGGAAGATTTCTGGGAGTCCTTGCGAGGGACTATCGCGTGGGCGGCCGACAAGATGTGCATAGTGGGGATCTGTACCAGATTGCAAAAGACGCCAGTGTGGACGTGTGCGAGAAGGATTCTGCACTACGCCGCATCGAAAGGTCCCGCTCACAATCCGACCAGAACGTGGTGGTACTTGCATATCATTGTAAAGAAGGGCCTAGTTTTATTATCAAAACCACTAAAGACATCCAAGCAAGAGAACAACTCTTGATGCCTCTAGACCTCGGGAGAGGAGAGCATGCGCGACAAGAGAATGACGGTGTCGCTCGCGATACGAGGAGTGTCGAAGACCACGAAACATATTCAGAAAAGCCCGGTATCGATAACGACCTTGGAAGCAGCGCGGATTCGGGTGGAGAGAGCGAGTATGAAACGTCCGATGCATCTGATTCTGCCTCCATTGGAAGCATGAAGGAAGACGAATGCTTGTCCGAGAGCGATGGCGAAAAGGATGTTGTCGTCGTGGCTGACCATCAACAGACCAAAAGAAGGACGAGAAGTCCGAACACGGATGAGAAAGTGCTACACAGTGTGATAGAGACCATTCCCTTAGGAAAGTCGTTCTCGAAGAGGACACTCTTATCACAGTACGAAACGAACAACTTACAGAAACCTGACAGTGAAGTCCTATACCGATATCTGGGAGAACTACGATGTTGCAGCCGCACAAGAGATCGCTCCAGTTGCAGATGGATACACGATGCACAAAATTGCCGCTTTCCACGAATCGAACAACGCGCACACTATGCTCTTGTTCAGAGGGAGCGTCTCACTGTGGTAGGGCTCTCGAGGCTGTGCAATGTCGGCCTTAAAGGGCTAAGAACCTGGTTGAAGTCAACCTCGTGTGCCAGCATTCAACCTAATACCAAGCCCAGAGAGGTCATACACGACAAAAGTAAATGCACAATATCGACCATCGACCAAACGGAGGCATTTAAGACAGACGTCAAAAACTTTGAAGACGAGTCTGGAAGAACCATTGTCACGTGGACTCCGGACCTCGAGAAAACGTTGCTTCGACTGAAGGCCAGAGGTGTGACGATGAGAGAACTAGCAAAGTATCTGAACAGAACCCATTCGACATTTCATTTCACCAAGATCTGTTTGGAAAGCAAATGGTTGAAGTTGAAGAAAGAAAAAACAAATGAACCGCTTCCGGACAGGGAGATGATTGATATGATCGAAGAAGCCAAAAACCCACCCGATAGGCATGATCTTGTTAAAATGGCGTGCGACAAGGCGCAAGACAAGAACGAGGCGAACATCGAATCGTGGATCGAAGAGTATCGCGATGGGATTCAATGTAATATTAACTTCGAGTCTCTTGATACATGCTTCGACGTCAAAAACGGCACAATTAATCATAACGCGAGAGTTTGTAGCAAAGGAAGCAAAAATCTCCGCTGATGTTGAGCTTAAGTAGCTCCTCTCTGCATGTACACCTAGTAGATGGTTAAGAAAATCTAAGATGACCTGCAAAGTGTGCATCTTCCTAGTAAAGTACCCCATCTCCCAGGAGCATTGGACAAGCTTGTAGTGATAGTAGAGTTACGGCATAGCGCTAACGTTGGCCTTCTTCGACCCCCAATTCAGCGTGTTCGTTCTAGAGGAACGTACCGGATGAACCCAACGATGTCGTTTTATGGCGCGACTGCCATGACCAGAAGCACCAAGTATCCGCTTATGAGCGAGCTGCGTACATCCTTCTCTGCCTCCACGACCGGGTTAGGACTGAGCTAGCATGATTTGTAAGACCGCTCGACGTGATTGTGCATTGCCATGTCTAGCTCCTCCATTCTTTGTCTCGCGTGCACATAGCCTGGACCAGCAATTCGCAGCCTGTTGAGGTCTGTATGCATGCACGCTAAGGCTGTGCGCTTCTCGAAAGCACGGGCGGGTGACTGCAGCCAGGTACTACTCGCTGCATGACGCTTGCTAGATCCACGATCAGATATCAGCGCGAGTCTCAGCCCTGTACAATTCACCTGTCAGCATCACTATGGCTTTGTGCCGTGAGTGTCAAGTCCCACATAGTTCGCGAGGGCGCAGGCAAACGAGAAATAGAGCAGCAATGAATCTGCAGTATGACCAATCACGTCCTAGTCATCCCTCGTAGGTAACGACCAAGGACTAAGGGTAAGTCTCAGCCGTCACGCCAAGACCCAAATCGCGCAAACCAAGTCGCCCCGTCTTGCCAAAACACCCGCCCAACGAACAGGACATGGTCAGCACAGAGTGCAGACGCGACGAACATGACGCTGACGAGGGGATGCCGCAGATGTCACTCGCGCAATTCGCAGAAGACGTTCACGATGAGCTAGAACCACCCGAAACGCAAAAATCGCCCAAGAAGGGGAGAGCACAACACTTGGACAGCCATAAGACAGCACAGTTCGTCATGAAGAAGATCGACTCGGAGATACACTGCGACGCCCAAGTCTAATCGAAAGTCGACATTCGAAACCTCAAAGAGTCCGCAAAACGAGACTCGCCGAATCGCACACCCGCCATTGTTCGCAACGCCGATCCCAGTGCGCGGAGGAAAGCTACCGACGTGTACTGGGACGCGCACTACATGGCGATGAGAGAGACGAGCATACCTGGGATGAGGAGGAAGATCTTGCCAAACCTGTCTCATAGGAAGACGCAGACGACACTGGACAAGGTGGCGAAGAAGCGGTACAAAACGAGGTTTCTGTACTAGAGACATCCTCGAAGCATGGAAGAAATTGACAGGAGGAGTCAGTGAAAGTAGGACGACGGCGAAAGCGGCGCTCGCCTACACCCCAAGCTGGGCTGTCTCCGCGTGAGCAGCACCTTTGGCAAGATCGTCCCGGCGGCACCAAAACCTCCAGCAACACTCTCTCTGCGCAGAGCCTACTCAAACACGATGAAAGCCTCGAAGCGACACAAACATACCGAAATCGGCATCGATCCCAAAGAGAATCTCTACTTCGATTGCACCGCCGTAAATACAGTGAACGGATCTTCGAGCTAGAGGGAGGATACGACATCTGACGCTATGGGTACAGCTTTAAGCGCTACTTCATCGAGCGACTCATCGCACGCTTCTACCAACATCTCATAACTTCTGCGCCGTACAAGGGGACGAAGAAGACACCGAAGATTGCGGTCATAGGTGGATACACAGCTGACACAACAAACAGATACTTGCTGTTGGCTACAGCATCGGCAGTGGCATTGGTAGGACAGAAGTTGCCTAGTCGATCTGCCCTCTTGCTCAATTTGATTATGTCACAAGCAGTCCGGCGTCGCGTGCTCGTCGTCCTGAACTCCTTCGACTCACCCTACCTTCGGAGGACGACAGCACCCTCTGTGCTTGCGCGTCTCGCTACTCATCCATCGATCGATCTCCTGTACACGGCCGATACACCTCATTTCTCTCCCTTGTTCGATGTTGGCATGGAGACACAACACAGATTGCTCTGCTACGACGCAACAACCTTCTCGCTTGGTGACGCGGAGACGGACCCAGCTGAGACTGTCAACGAACTCTTGGGACGCAGCGACAGACTTGTCGGTGGAAGAGACAGTCTAGGCTCTTTCTTGCCATCACTACCAGAACAAGCCCGAGAACTGTTCCGCGTCCTTGTGATGTAGCAGCTAGCACTTTCACTCATGGAGGCTAGTGGTGGAAGAGAAGGAAGACATCGCTGCGGCGTCAAGGCCTGAGAAAGTCGAGAACACCAGGAACGTTCTGACCGATTCCGCATAAGGCGATGAGTACCGTGTGGTATACCGTGTGGTATACAGTGTGGTGTATCACAAAGCTGTCGAAGCATTCGTTTATCCAAGTGAAGTCAGTTCCAAGGATGCTGCTCAAGGCTTACACGATCGCTTTCGGTATATGGTAGTAGGCGATGAACGTTTAACGTTCGCTGTGTTTAGCTTCCTAGTCAATCTATGAACCAGTGCTCGATCCTCCACCCTCGTGCTACTATATCGATCCGCCAACCGCGCCAGTACACCCTACCTGTCCGCCGCACTCACTGACTCTCGCGAACCATCCCTGTGTCATCCAAGAATAACCTGCACAGATCCTCGTCCCACAGCGACTACGCCTTTGTATGCCAGAGATGTAGACGAGAGCGGCATGGTAAGCACCACCTTCTGCGAGAAACAGCTTCTAAACACAGAGGATACAGATGTGAACGCTTGCGTCCAAGAAAGAGGCGAGCTGTCGTGGCTGCAAGATGTCGAGGAACAGGGTCCTACGACAGACGTAGAAACCGATATCTTGCCTCTGTACCAGAAGATGCTCTGCCGCCAGCCGCAGTCGTGCGACGTGACTCAACATCACAGTTTGCCGAACGGTATGTTTCGGAATCGATCACACTGTCCCGTAACAAGCACCACGAGGTGTTCATACCAGCGCGCAAGCATCTGAGAATATCGCTTTGCTAAGCCTATCGTTCCTTTCTACCACTGCAGCATTGATCATCGACTCCAATGTCAGATGTTCTGGACAAAGCTCTGCTGATCTCCACGAAACTCAAGACATACCGGACGCTGCGTAGTCCATTGCCCATCAGCGATCACCCGTGCTTTCCATTGTCGCTTTTGTTCATGCAGTACACGCTGTCGCCAGGTAATGGTACTCTTCCCACGCTCTATATCGAGACTTTCCAAACATGCTCGGAAACCGGGGAATATATGCGTATATATCCTGTACTCTTGAAGCGTAGAGTTCTGCTCCAACCTCTCCTGCAACAACCCAAGTAGCTCTTCGTTCGCGGTGTTCCTCAGCAATACTGAAATCGCCACGTCACGAACTCGGGGGAAGGCTTGCACTGCATGCGCGAGTGCCTCGGCTACCTCTTGGCGATCGAAGTTTGTCGCATTTTGCTCAATGAAAAGAGCACGCGATCTCTCGCGAATCTCGATCGCAAGAGCGTGCGCCTCCATCCGGACACCTTTGCGCACGCTGTTGACATGATCCAATATGCTGCTCTTGTCCAGGTTTATATGTATTGCGACCCGAGTCTCGCGGAGAAGCACAGAAGTGAACTCTGACGCGATCTGCTTGCAGAGGAGCAATGCTGACACAGGCGGCCAAGCAATACCTATTCCACAATTGTTGTAGGCACTGCTTTCGGAGCTAACGATGACAAGACTGTAGATAGCATCTCGGATCTCGCGTGGTAGCTTCGTGAAGCTGGCTTGGTCTTTCGTGGCGGAGGACGGAAACGTAGTAGGTGCTCTGGTGGCCTGCATCGTACGCGCGGGCCCTGTCGTATGTAGAGATGTGTTGTTTTCCCTTTCCAAGAACGAACAAGACATCTGTTAGCCGCAGGCGTGATCTTGGTTTGCAGGGACAGAGT